AGCTAGCTGTTTGCTGAAGCCGTATTTTATTAAAGGTTACACCACAGTGTATCGTTCATAGGATTATCGTTTCGGATAATAACTATATATTGGCGCAATTGCTAAACAAGCTAACCGTTGTCCCTTTCCGTTTGGTCGTTACGGGAAACGCTTTCGTTTGCACAAGGACGTTAAAGATTAGCGTCTAACCTTATAAAGGTTATGTCAAATTAGTTGCTACCCGTTTCGCGGTAGTTATATAACAGACTGCGGAATAGGCGATTGTTTTCTGTTTTTTTTTATTGTTGCATTCGAGAATACGTTTAGTCTGACAGGAGAATAATGTCCACGTCCAACGCAAATTTCAAAAACAAATGTGTGACACAGGTGAACTGCATCTTTTGTGATAGTCTGCTCTGCACCAGGGGGATGAAAGCGGTGCTCCTTGCGGACACTGAAGTTGAGCTTTTTTCAACCGATATACCCCCCAATAGGTAAGTGCTCATCTTATTAGCAGTGCAGCTAACTAGGTGCTCTTTAATATCTGCAATTTCCCGCACAACTAGGTGCTCTTTAATATCTGCAATTAGAGTTCCCGCATCGAATGATGTTGGATGGAATGTACAAATTTGTCGCTTGAAGTTTGAATTCTTATTTGTTGCTTTCTTGTTTCCTGGTGCACTCTCCTCATCAGGACTGTTGACTTTGTGGCCAGCTGCTACACCACTGAGAGCTGCAAGTGCAAACTGAGAGACATTGCCTGTCTCAAGTGGTATGTACTCTGTGGTCAAACGTGTTTTGTTTACATCAGGAAGGACACCTGCCTTTTGTGATGAAAAGAAAAGAGTACGCTATCAGGTTATACCGCATGAATGAGGCTGGTTTTGTTAGGATACACCTGTTGGTAAAACAAGGGTTCCTTTTACTGTAACATAATGTTTTTGAATGTAATTCCCGAGTGATTCCTGCGATTAGTTAACAGACTGTCACATGTTAAGTTAGGTTAGTCAAATTTTTTTTTCAGATGAAAATGAATGAAAAATATGTGATTATTGCCTTTTTGGGTTGAAATATCTCAAATATGTTTATTGTTGATAAAAACAGACAAGAATGCTAATAGAATTCATCTTCGTGTCTTCTCTTTTTACTCTAACAGTAATAATGTAGGTGTTTTTAACAGCATGTTTGTTTACACTAATGTTCATCTGAATGTATTTTGTTCTCCACACCTTTGTTATTTCATCTACTGTAGGAATAGAAACACGAATGCTGAATAAAGGACATGAAGTGGTTGAGTTGACACTTTTCAAACGAGTTTCACAAATGAGCTGACGCATGTTTTATCTTTATTCTCGTTTGCTCTCCCTGACAGTGGTAACATTGTAGGCTACCATGTCGTGGCCCCCTGTAAACCCTGCCTTCTCTCCTGCAACAATGGCCATTTCTGGATGTTCAACAGCGATGCTGTGTCGACTCTGAACAGACTGGACGCAACAGGTTTGTAAGGCCTTGTCTGCCTGGTAACACTGGAATTTCAGCTAGTCATGTGCTACAAGCCTTCTGTTTGTTTGCAGGTCTGAACCTGCTGCTGTGGGGAGATCTCCCAGAGCTGGATGACAGTGAGGATGAAGAGTATGAAACTCCATCAGTAGAGGAGTGCATCAGGTAGAAAGGGATGTCCTCAATGTAAGGGACAAAGACGGCAAACATGAGCGATGACATGGTACAAACTATGAGTCAAAAGATGGGGGGGCACAAAGAAGCCTTGAAGGGTAATTAAACACAGAATTGCACAGGGCAGAACAGACTGTAACTGGTAAAAACTTTTGACGTTTCACTCCACACAGTCATGTCACAGCAGGTGTTTTTAGGGGGAGGGGAGGTTTACCTTTGAGTTCTTGTGGAAAACAGTTGCTTTGATGTCACTGATGAAGGTGGTGGAGCACAGTGTACTGAACGTCTTTAAGTTTGAAGCAACATCTTTTGGGCTCTGTGTCATTCGGTGACTAATTACCTGTGATCATGCCTTTTCTGATCATTGTCACTGTTGAAAGCACAGACACACACTGTTACTCAGACTTCCCTCTTATCTTGTTTTGCGAGTGCTTTTGTGAGGCGCTGCGTTGGACTGAAGACCAGTGACATCTGGAGGTCCTGACTCTGGCATGTTTTACTTTCCATTAGTTTCAGACAATTTAGGGCCTTTTATTGGCGTCATGTGAAGTGTGGTATAAATTGGTGGGTCTTACTGTACCAGAGAATGCTGTGATTTAAAAAAAAAAAATTCTGTTGTCTAAAAATAATTTTTAAATGACCACCATTTGCTTACTTTACATAAAGGATGTGTTTACACTTTTGATATTTGATGTAGTTAAAATAATGTAAGAACATGTGGGATTATTTCCACTGGGTTCATTTTGTTATGATACAACTTTATCAGATCCAGACAAACAGGCGTGCAGTTATGTTGACGTTTTTCAGTCTTGAGCTTCCGTCTTCATCCGAAGTGCTCCTTGATGAACCTGTTTTTAGTCGCCCTGTCAATTTTGACAGGTCTTGCTTCCAAGCTGACTACCGGAACACGCCTTGGTAAAAACAGCTGTTACGGACATCACAGTGACATCAGGTGATGCTTCTGGGACACATAAAACTGTGTCTTATTAAATATGAGAAACTACTTAAAGAATATATTTCTGGACGAAATGAAAAAAAAAGATGAAAATGAATGCTAGTAAAAGAATCAGGACTTTAAACCAGCAACCCCCAGCACAAAGTTCGATTTCCTGCAAAGTGTGAACACATCCTTCATGACAGATCTTCTGTAGTCTGTACATAAAATATGCTGTAATGAGAACGTGGTCCCATTCGCATTTATGTCTCAAAAGGCTTAAATTATCCTGGAGTGTTAACTTGAGTTTAAGTGCTGTTTTCAATTTAATGTATTCAAAAATAGCACAATAATTGAATGATGTATAGTATATATAGATATATATGGATATATTTCTGAGTTTCTTGCTTTTTAAGAGTGTATTTAATCTAGATTCCTTTGTCGTCCAGACAGAATATTAACTATGTTTTGATATGATAATATATTATTTGTTAACACCTGACAGCAGCACTATGTGAAGTTATACTGACCAATACTTAACATGCTGAACAGTGCTTTTGTACTTTTTGTCAAGACTTGACATGGGGTTATAAAACAAAGAAGGTAGATACGGATCATTGATAAATTAGAACATGACTAATGTTTGGCTTATTTTTAAACATCGAACCACAGCGTTGGTGAATAATTAGGACATTTTTAAAAAGAAATGTTTGGTGCATTCCAGCGTGGTTGTGTTTAATTTTGCAGCCTATCACTTTAATGTTTCAGCATTGATGTAGCACATGTGGACAAGAAGAGGGAAAAGAGAAAAAAAAAACTCCAAAGAATCAATGAGCATATCAGTATAGAAATGCGCAGACTGACGACTTCCTGAAACTGTAGTTGTGACTATTGTTTTGAAAGGGTGGAACCCCAGCCTTTGGTTATCCACTGGTCTGACTGATGTAGAATCTTTAAGATGTGCACTCGGCTTTGATGCTACATCTCTGTTGGTCATCAGCAGCATGACCAGGCCTCCGTCTCCGCCTGTGGTTGCCAAGCTCGGCTCACTTAACTCACTCAGTTGTCCTAATGTCACATCAGTCTTTTCTGCAGTGCCATCCTCCAGCTGTTCCCTATCGTCACCCTGATCTGCTGCAGTTTCAGAGTAAGAGTATTTTTGCGTGAATGAGTTCTATGTGAAGTGTTGTCACTTATTACTGTACCTGAAGGAGGAGGATCAACCTGTGGTTAACCATTAATTGCTGTTGTTGCTTTTGCCTTTGGTTGTGTCAACATACACAGAAAATGAAAATGTATTTTTAAACTTTCACATTTCAAAGTTATGACTGACGGCCTGTTATATGACACATTTAATCGGCTAGGTATTTATTATATGTGTGAACCAAAACAACTGTAACCACATACTGTATTTTTCATTTTACGAATGCATTATTGTCTTTTTTAACATTGCTTGAGTACATACATATATTTTCCATTTATGTATTTAATATGTCATTGGTGAAGTGGTGCTTTGAGTTGTAACTTAAGATAATTGTGTACAGTTTTACCCAAAGATGGTATCACCCGCTAGCTTCCTCTGACGAGGACAAAAGCCAATGATAATCAACACAGTAATTTAAATTTTTCTTTCTCACGTAAATGACGATGATTAAGACGCCCTGCTGAAAATGTATATTTTGGAATTGCACTGAAACTGCAATGGTAGTTTGAAAAAAAAGTTGTTTTGTATGCCTGTTAAATTAATAAAATGTTTTTTTCTAAGAAAAAGAAACTGTCTATACAACATAACAAGCTATGAGAATTCAATGTTTTCTCTGATTTTCTGCCTTCTATAGAAATAACTTTTTCCTCAGTTGTGTGGGATTTACAAGAACAATGGTGACCTTATCAAATGGTCAAGTCAGTTTTATAAATATCTGCGTCATTACAGACAGAGAGGGACTTTTTCCTCCAGTCATTTGTTGCTGTATATATTTAGACTTGGGGGATGGGCTGGAGCGGGCGGGATTTTCTTCAGAGGGAAATTAAGAATTTTTTCCAGCTCAAGATTAATGCAAGAGCTTCCATAGTAATAGATCAATACTGTACAGTAATACTCTACATTGTATACTACCTGTTTTATATCTCACGTCTAAGAACATACCGTTTTCCTCATATGACAGTTTTTAACTTCCAATCCAATTGTGTAGAGCAGTGTTTCCCATACTTGTTTTTCCGGAACATCATATTTTAAAAGTCACAAAAATCGCAAAAAATGGTCAAATAGTTGTTGTTCGTTTTGTGTCTTCTGTGCAAAAATACCACAAGAATCCATTTAACATGCACCTAATATGGATGTACAGCAGTGTGTTGGTAAAATGACTTACTTTTCTAACTAGATAGTTAATACTAATCATAATACCAGTGTGTTCTTGGGCAGGGCTCTTCCTTGCAGCTGCGACCAGGGATGATGAAGTCAATCAGTAATTAGGCACTTATTTGTTTGTGTGAACTGTGTTTATAAGGTGGGCAGGTGTGTCTGTGTACCTGTTTTGTTACCTAAGGACCAGAACATGTTTATACGTCCCTTTGTACTAATGGGGACCAAACCCTAAGTTAATAACCTGTTGTCTGCTATAATCATTGTGGTCACATGTTAAATAACTTTAATTAGCACACCTAACAATGTGAGTACTAACTCGCCATGCGTCAAATGCACGCTCTTACAGTGAATAGTGCTCTGACGCTCTCTATTGGATTAAGAGTGTAATGACATGTACTTCGACGTGAAATGTGTTTGGCATTACCGATGTCAAAAACATGCCTGTTGTGAAGTAACATGATTATGTTAGGCCTAAAATACATATCCACATGCACAATATATTACTGTTGTCGTTTTATTTGCTTTAATAAAGGAACAAACAGCTGATGTTAGACATCACAGCAGATTTGTGTTGTTTCCTGGCATTGCTGTGGTGATCAGCAAGTAAACAAGTCATGATGCGATAAATTATAGTTGATTATATTATTGGATTTATTGCATTTACCTTGACTTTTGATATTTTTTTCCGCTCCGAAGCACAGTTATTCAAAACAAATACGTCAAAAGTTCACTCCAGGATAATTTAATGACAGTTGCTAAGTTTCATTCTTGCGTTCTATACAATAAATATGTATTTATTTATATATATTTCTATACATTTAATAGTTTTTTTTAAAAATACATTTAACATAATAAATAAACATTTTCTTCTGACAAACGCAGCAAGAATTTCAGCGCTGACACCAATAGTTGATTTCATATTTTGGCACTAGATGGTGCACTTTGACTAATAATGGACGCCACTTTAGTCACGCGAACACAGTGTATATTTGTCTATATATATTTAATATTTTTTAAACTCTGGAGTCCTCACATTCCAGAGTAGTTTATTTTGTCAAGGTCAAAATGAGCCTTTTACAATAATTAAATAATTCAGCATTCCTTAATTCGCTCACATAATAATATTAATAATACATATTATTATTATTAGTTTTATTATTCATATTATTATTATTATTCAAATGTCAAATTAGCAGTTATTCAGATTATCTGAAACAACAGAATCTTTTATACGACCTTTGTTAAACTCCTCAGGCTGGTGTGGTCATCTCTTGATGAAAGGTGCAAAAAAACTGGGCTAATGTCCAGCATAATGATAGTACGGCAGGAAATTCATCAGAAAAATCTTTCATTTTTTATTGGGTAAAAAGGACATATTGTAATGAATGGTAGACTTAATTCAGTTTAGAAAGGCGGATAAGGACAAAAACTTCCTGTAGTCTGCTGAGCAAGGCATTTTGTATCAGGAATGATTTAATTTATTATTATTTTTATTATTATTATTTTCCCTTGGTAATTGATGAGTCTATAATTTAAAAAATAGATCTATAATCTATAGTTATTAACGACTAATGCAGATGTATCTGTGCGTGTGTTGAACCACTGGGCCTCCCGCTGCCTCCGTGTTCCGTCCTGAGACCGGCTGCACTGGGCTTTTCTGACGTGCTGAAGAAAAACACAAAGAAAACTTCAAACAGGCGTCTTATTTTCTTCAATTCTTCTGGGCCAGCTGATTACAGTTCAGGATAAAAGTTGTTCCCGTACAGTAAACGAATGCTCGGAAACACAGAGCACTAATTAAGTCATGGGGGGATCTGAGGCGGTCTGCGTGGACGTGTTCCCCAACACCCAGACCGTGGGGGTTTAGAGAAAACTTCAGAGCCCAACAGCAGTCAGCATCAAAGGTGTTTATCGTCAGCTGAATGTCCAGTGAAGGCATGAACTGTGGGATCGACGAAGCCTCCTGGGAGAGCGAGGCTGAAGCTGGAGCTGAAGCTGAAGCTCCTCGACTGAGAAGTGATGAGCTTCTCCTCCCTCCACCTCACTGCTGCTGCTGCAGCTCAGCTCAGGAAGTGGCTCTAAATGCTTTTGTCTGACGTGAACGCAGCAACAGACTGAGTCAGAGCAGAGCAGGAGGTGTTTCATGTTGGCCTAAGGAGGCTCCGCACGTCAATGTCATATTTACAGCCATTAACCATCAACATGAATAAACCTGCGTTTTTCAATTTTCCCTAGTTTTAGATGAAATACATTGAAACAGCCATAAAAAACATCTTAATATCCCTATGAACCAGCCTCTCAGGTCAGTGTCAGCGTCTGCATCTCACAATTAATCCCCCAAGAAAAGTCAATGGAGATTCTCAAAGAATGGGCGAATGTTTAGGAGCACATTTTGTTCCATTCTGTCCATATTTGTTTCGTGGCCTCGGTGGAAGCTGAAGTGGTTCATATTGTAGGTGCTTTTTTGTATGTTCTGTATGGTGGGGTTCAAAAGGTACTGTATGTTCATTGCTGCTGTGTGATTTACCATGTCTCTTTATTTGTACACACACACACACACACATGCTCACAGAATTTATTTTTTTTGCTCTGGCCTTTATTCATTTCACTCTTCACAATAGTGGCTTTGAAATGTGTCCTTGTGTTGTTAGTCTGGCCTTTGCGTGTCCATATGCACAAACACACACCGTTTAAAAGAAATGAATCATCCTTCTCTGTTTATCTGCTCTAATTCTAGCCATTTTCTCACAATAAATAAGAGTGCCACAACAAGAATGTTAATATAGCATAGCGTGAAGCGACGGATGAAGGAGCACAGAGACACAAGATGTGGTTCCAGGTGTTTGTATGATTTAAAAAAAAAAAAAAAACGCCTAAAAATTAGCCGTACTTTGTAGATGAAACGCAGCATTAACGCTGTTGTCGCAGAGGCCCGTCCTCCTGCCTGTAACCACCTTCAAATTACAAATTCCGTATTCCAAGAGTTCTAAGACGGTGTTCTTTCAACCCTTTTTGTGTGTTTGTGTGTCTGTATGTGTGTGTGTATTTGGGAGGGGGAGGGGAAGAGAGAGCGCCTGGTAGAAAACCTTTAATCCGGGTGCTGTCAGGCCCAAACCCGGCTTGACGTCCCATTGATGTGGAACAGAACAAAACACAGGGCCCCTTGCTAAGCTCCAACTGGCTCAACCACACGCGCACACGCAAACACTCACACACACACACACACAAACACACACACATACACACACAGGGCCCCACTCAAAAGCCCCCAACATGGGGCCCCTGCTCCCAAAGTGGGAATGGCATTCCTAGCCCTACACACGTGCTCTCTCTCTCTCTCTCTCTCTCTCTCTCTTAACCCTTTTATTGCTGTGCTGTAATTAGCAGATAATAACTTTTTAAAGACATTCATGCATTCATTTATTTCCATTATGTATTTAACAAAGATGCCAGATTCTCAGGAAGTAAAATACTTTTCCCTGTTACACACGCACACACGGGTGCGATTTGTTTGTGCGACGTCAGGATACAGTTAACAGAAGCCAGATGCTCCAGTGAGTGCGCGTTGCCAGTAATGAAAGTGTGTATCCGTGGTGACAACAAACAGTTATTATTGTCCTGCTGTTTGGACGGCTCCCAGCCCACAGCATCTCTGTTTACCATTAACCTAAAGACAGAGAGCCAGAGGAGAACAGAGAGCAGAAGGCAGAGACACGTCTTCACAAACACAGGCCGGGACACGTTAACAATTAAAACGTTAAAGCCAATGATCTCAATTTGTCAAGTCCCCCTTTTTTCTTTCTTTTTTTTACACTGACTCTTCTGTTGTTCTCAACCAGCAGGTGGAGCCATGGGCAGAGAGTAGGGAAGGCTTCCTGTTGAGGCGCTGACCCCGAGTTGGCTTTTAGGCTCTTCTAGACACTCTGTTACAGTTCAGAGTCAGGTGGTCCTCTGTGGTTCGGTGTTATGGCTGCAGCAGGTTATCACCCTGCACTGGGAGCACGGCCCAAAAACTGCACTCAAATTAAAAAAAAAAAAGCCACACACCACACACACCTACTGTATGGAAACATTCCCACCTGTAGCCACACGCTCGTTTCCACTCCTCACCTTCTCCGGGACTAAAACCAACCTTCGGTTTCCGTTGTTATAATAACACAGATCTTTGTCTCCTGATGCCTGAGTTTTGGCGCTTCCGTTTTTAAATGTCAAAAAGTCCAAACGGGACCTTTTCCCCGGCCAGGCTACGGTCCAGGGAGAGGCCGTAACAGACCCAACCAAAATGTTTTTATTGACAGCTGAAAGCAGCCAGGCCGACAGCGGCGATTGGCTGTAATTGGTCTGCAAAGTCAGTGGTGTGTTTGAAAGTCCCTATGTAAAGTGGCAGCCTTTATCAAATTTACATGCAC